CTTCCCCCTCCCAGACCCCAGATGGACCTTTCCAACCCCCGCTGAGATCATCCCACCACCTTTAGCCATGGATACACATTCCCTCGGGATTTCTCCCCTGGGTGACTGACACCCCTCCTGCCATGAAAGGGCCCCAATATCCGGGAACGGGAAGAATCACCAGAAACTCTTCCCCTTCCCTTTGGAGCAGCTTTGATTTCCAATGACTGGGAAAGCTGGAAAAACCGGGAAAACATCCCCCTCCCGGCACCCCCTTGGAAGAAACATCCCTGCTGACATCCAGTGCCATCAGCACAGGGGGAGGGAGGGAGGGAGCTTTTCGTCGGCTTCATTTCGCGTTTCTGGATTATAAAATATTTAAAGCCCGGGAATAAAACGCTCTGGTGCAAAATTCCTGGCCCGTTTTCCCAGAGCCAGGCAGGGAACGGAGCTCCAGTGAAACCCAACCAGCCAGGGGGAGCTCTGCAAGGGAAACCAGTTCCAGGGGGATTTAAGCTCCCACAGCCTCCCAGCTGGAATATTTATGTTCTCCTGGAGTGGGACACGTTTTCCCCCCTTTCTTATTTGATATTGGCCCGTGGAATGAATCCGAGTTGTAGCCACTGCCGTGGATTTATGGGGTCAGGGATAATGCTGGAGGTTCCTGGCTTTAATTAAATCTGCTCCTTTCTGAGCGTGGAAGGAGGAATTGCCACCAGGATACCCCTGGGAGGGGGGTCAGGAATCCCAGCCTGACTCTACCTCCTCTTTGCAGGGCCAGGAATGACAAACCCTCACTCTGGGAGTGCTTTGGGCTCTCTCCTTCTGTCCTGATGCTCCTTTTTGGGTATCAGGAGAGATTTCCTCCTGGAAAGGGTGGTCAGGCCTTGGCAGGGGCTGCCCAGGGACTGGGGACAAGGGATGGAGGGACAGGACGCAGGGAATGGCTTCCCACTGCCAGAGGGCAGGGATAGGTGGGATATTGGGAAGGAATTCCTGGCTGTGAGGGTGGGGAGGCCCTGGCAAAGATTGCTCAGAGAAGGTGTGGCTGCCCCTGGATCCCTGGAAGTGTCCAAGGCCAGGTTGGAGCAACCTGGGCTAGTGGGAGGTGTCCCTGGGTGGGACTGAGTGGGATTTAAGGTCCCTTCCGACATGAGCAATTCCATAATTCTGTGTTTCTGACAGCTCTGAGTCTCTCCTTTCTTGAGCTTAGATGGGGTAACAAATATCATGGAATCACAGGATGGTTTGGGTGGGAGGGGACCTTAAAGCCAAGCCCATCCCATCCCATCCCATCCCATCCCATCCCATCCCATCCCATCTCATCCCATCCCATCCCACCTTCCACCAGCCCAGGTTGCTCCCAGCCCCATCCAGCCTGGCCTTGGACACTTCCAGGGATCCAGGGGCATTCAATAAATTTGGGAAGCAGGTGTCCAGCTTGGCAGCCCAGTGTGACAAATCCCGGGATGCCGTGTCCAAGTCCACCTCTGACCTGCCCCGAGAAGGAAATCCTGGGAGGTGGGGAGGAAAGATGGGAAAAGTCATTTGAGATCCAAGGAATCCCCCACACCACGAGCTGCCCCAGGAGCACTGGGCTCTGCCTTCCCCTATCCACGTCTGGGAAACAAATCCAGGAGCCAGAGGTTCCCTGGAGGTGGGACAGGGGTTTGCTGGCCTTGGGTTGACCAAGTGCACCCAAACTGCTGCTGCCACACCCAGGTCAGGCCGTGGGGGATCCAGGGGGATCCAGGCTGTGCAGGGGAGAGGAGGAGGGAAGGGATGTGCTGGAATTGTCTGCCAGAGGTGCTAATGGAAGTGTTCATCCTCTATTTTCCCGTGAATTAAGAGGAAGGGGAGGTTTGGCCGCCCTGGCACTCAACACTCGCTGCCTCTTCGCCTTGGAGAGCCACCAATCCTTGCTGGAATTGTGGGGATATGGTGCTGTCTCTCCAAAGGATAAATATTGTCAGTAAATTAAGGGATGAACTGGTGATAACTCCCCTTCCAGAGGCATCTTGGCTTTCCCACTGAGCATCCAAGAGCTGCCCAGAGCCAGAGGTCCTGTGGCTCCAGCCCTGCAGAGCCAGGGCAGGGCACACCAGGAGTGCCAGGATTTCCACGGGAAGACAGGAACCACTCCCTCTGCCCACTTCCTCTAACAATCCTTTTGTTTCACCTGGTTTTCTCTCCCGGTGGGACTTTAGGAGCATTTCTGGAGCTTGGACAAGACAGAAAACAAGATCCCACCGCAGCTGATCCTCCAGATCTGGGACAACGACAAGTTCTCCTTCGACGACTATTTGGGTGAGCTGGGGGAGGTTTTTGGCTCCATCCCTCCTGGGGCAGCAGGAAGGGAAGAATTCCTGGAAAATGGGGACCTGGAAAAGCTGGGGCTTTCCCTGGATCCCTGGAAGTGTCCAAGGCCAGGTTGGATGGGGCTTGGAGCAACCTGTTCTAGAGGAGGTTGTGGTTTGGAGCTGGGGGGGGTCTGGGTGGCCCAAACTCCCTGAGATCAGGAAGGTGCCGCAAGGAAAGAGCCCTCAGGGAAAGAGGCCACGTTTTAAGGACCTTTGCACTGAGCTGTCCCACCTGTGACATTCCTCCTTCCAGGCTCCATCCAGATGGATCTCAACAGGATGCCCAAACCTGCCAAGACGGCCGAGAAGTGCTCCCTGGAGCTGGTGGACGACACCCTGTCCTCCAACCACTTCGTGTCCCTCTTCGAGCAGAAAACTGTCAAGGGCTGGTGGCCCTGTGGGGCTGAGCAGGACCACAAGAGGATCCTGGCGGTGAGGAGGCCCCTTCACGTGTTCCCATGGGATTCATTCCTAATCCCCATCCCTGGAGGTGTCCAAGGCCAGGCTGGACAGAGCTTGGAGCAACCTGGGCTGGTGGGAGGTGTCCCTGCCCGTGGCAGGGGGTGGGACTCCACATCTGCATGGTTTGGAATGGGATGATCCTTCAGGTCCTTCCCACCCCGAGCCATTGCAGGATTCCCTGGAAGCTCTGAGGAGGGAGGTGTCCGGGCCGAGCACCCGCGGGATGTCACGGTCGGGGCACCAAAGGAAGTCTGGGGCTGTGAATTTTCCCTGGATGTTTGCCAGCCTCGTGCAAATCCCTCAGGAGGAATCCCTTGGTTTGTGGGGGGTTTTTTTTGGCTGTGGATTTTGGAATGTGCCACCGAACATGACTCTTGTGTCACGCCTGTTCCTGTGACCTCGTGTCACGAGAAGCTCCAGGGAAAGGCTCCAGGTGTCCCAGTGACACGTGGAAAAGGGTCCTGTCCAAGGGTTTGGTGGTGCTTCCGTGCAGGTAAAGGAGTCCAGGCTGTGAATGGAGTCATTCCACAAAAAAAAAAAACCTTCCTGAGGTGGGTTCAGGGAAATCAGGAATCAGGGAATCAGGAAAGGCTGGACTCAGTGCCGTGGTCTGGTTGGCAAGGTGGTGATCGGTCACAGGTTGGACTCGATGATCCTGGAGGTCTTTTCCAACCTCAGTGGTTCTGTAGTTTCCCCAAACTTGGGTGTCAGCGACATTTGGGATCTCTTGGAGGATCCCCCGTGGTCCGTTGAGGGATCTCTGGGCTCTCCCTGGTTTCCTCATGGGTGGTTTCTGGGCTTTGCTCCAAGTGGATTTTCTTCTCCCAATCCATGTTTTCCACCCATTTCTCACCCCTGCCCTCTTTTTGGGGTTCTGAGTGCGTTTTGTTCGTGTCCTCCAGGGCAAACTGGAGATGACTCTGGAGATCGTGGCGGAGCAGGAGCACGAGGAGCGCCCGGCCGGGATGGGAAGGGACGAGCCCAACATGAACCCCAGGCTGGAGGAGCCCAAGTGAGCCCATCCCGAGGGGAAAATCAACCCCCGGGGCACGGAGAGCTCGGGGAGCAACTGGGAATTCGGGGGGGGCCCAGTTGGAGGGGACTGGGATTGTACCGGGGTGGGCTCTGTTCTCAACTGGAGTGGGAAGGGAGACAGTCCAGGGGAATGGGAGCCTGGTCTGGAGCACCAGGGAGGACCTGGTGGGACATTCCCAGAGGGATGGAGGGGCTGGGACAGGCCAGGAGGGGTGGGAAGCTGTTCTGGACCACCAAGAGGGACGTTGGTGGGACATTCCCAAAGGGATGGAGGAGCTGGGACAGTCCAGGAGGGGTGGGAAGCTGTTCTGGACCACCAAGAGGGACGTTGGTGGGACATTCCCAGAGGGATGGAGGAGCTGGGACAGTCCAGGAGGGTCAGGAGGGTGATCTGGAGCACCAAGAGGGACATTGGTGGGACATCCCCAGAGAGATGGAGGGGCTGGGACAGTCCAGGAGGGATGAGAAGCTGGTTTGGACCACCAAGCTGGTTTGGTTCCTTCCCAGAGGGATGTGGGTTTTCAGGCCACACTGCTGGGATTGGGGATCCAGGAGGGTGAAGCTCTGACGTGACCTGAACTTTTCCCGGCTCCAGGCGCCCGGAAACCTCCTTCCTGTGGTTCACCTCCCCCTACAAGACCCTCAAGTACATCCTGTGGAGGAGGTACAAGTGGATGCTGATCCTGCTCATCCTGCTCTTCATCCTGCTGCTCTTCCTGGGGGTCTTCGTCTACGCCTTCCCGGTACGGAGCGGGCTGGGCAAGGCTGGGAGAGATCCCTCGGGATGGGGGGGATGGTTCCAGGGCAGGGGGCTGGAAAAATCCAGGGCTGCTCCCTGAGGAACAGCCTGGGGGATCGTGGGGGTCAAAAGGTGGTTTGGTTTTGGGTCATTCCTGAGAAGGACACGGAGGGGCTGGAGCGTGTGCAGGGAACGGAGCTGGGAAGGGGCTGGAGCAGCAGGAGGGGCTGAGGGAGCTGGGGGGGCTCAGCCTGGAGAAAAGGAGGCTCAGGGCGGACCTTCTGGATCCCTAAAATGCCCTGGAAGGAGGTTGGAGCCAGAGGGGGTCAGAAATAAGTGACAGGAGGCAAGACAAGAGGGAACGGCCTCCAGCTGCGCCAGGGGAGGCTCAGGTTGGACATCAGGAGGAATTTCCTCCTGGAAAAGGTGGTCAGGCCTTGGCAGGGGCTGCCCAGGGAGGGGGTGGAATCCCCAGCCCTGGGGGGATTTAAAATCCCTCTGGATGTGGCACTTGGGGACATGGTCGGGGGTGGCCTGGGCAGTGCTGGGGGAGGGTTGGACTCCATGATCCCAGAGGGCTTTTCCAGCCTCAACCATTCCATTCCAGACTCCTCCTGCAGGCTGAGCCCAAGGTTCTCCCCTCTCTGTGTCCATGTTTCCAATGGGGGTCACTCCTCCATGGGATCAGTCCCTCAGGAACTGCTCCAGTGGAGATCCCTTCCATGGGGTCATTCCTTCAGGAACTGCTCCAGGTCCCTTTCCATGGGGTCATTCCTAGAGGAACTGCTCCAGGTCCCTTTCCATGGGGTCAGTCCCTCAGGAGCTGCTCCAGGTCCCTTTCCATGGGGTCATTCCCTCAGGAACTGCTCCAGGTCCCTTTCCATGGGGTCATTCCCTCAGGAACTGCTCCAGGTCCCTTTCCATGGGGTCATTCCTAGAGGAACTGCTCCAGGGTG